CTTTAATTTTCATAATTAGTTACGGCATTTTACTACATCTGTAATAGACTATATTTAGCTTAGATATATTCTTGTCTTCATTTCAGTAGTATAAATGAAAGTTTTTAAAATAGATTATTTTTTTCAGCACACATTTCCTACGAAACTTAAAAACTGACAACACTGTATGCCGCTTTTGAATTTGTCTCTTTGTCTGTCAACCGGTTTTTATATTTATTTCTGTCGCATGCATTAAAATTTAAAATACAGACCACGCAGATGAAGTGTCCAGGATGGTATAAATAAATAATAAAGTGGCTCACCCCCTATAACTTTTTTATTTCTTCAGATAAAAAAACGAGATTTGGTATGTTAGTATATGACATAAATTAGAATTGATTGACGTATTCAGTTGTTTTGGTCACTTCTTGTTTCACCGGAAATGACTACAACTTTTGATTTTTAAATGGCATCCTCGGTATTTTTTTACTTTATTCGATTGAAAATGACATTCTGAATAGAATGACATATCATATGTCAACTCTTGACATTCTCGATTAATAAAACATCGTATTTTAAAATTCAATCTAGAGTACCTATAGTAAAAACAGTAATTCTTAATCAAGGAGCCTTGGAAAAATAGATTTGATCGTTTAATGTTTTTAGTGTCTTGTGGCCAGTTAGAAAATGCTCAAATCGTATTTTTAATCATATCTCAAAGGAATGAGAGTGGCTCATTAGCATATTTGGAAAAATCATTATTGTACGAATAGTTTGATACCCCACACTTGGTATTTCGAGTCAAATTTTCGTTACGAACCGCAAGTTACAATTTCAAATAAATCATATGCGAAAGTGTCAAAAGTTGACATATGATGTGTCATTCTATTCAAAATGTCATTTTCTATCGAATAAAAAGTTGTAGTCATTTCCGGTGAAACAGGAAGTGACCTAAAACAATTGAATACGTCAATCAATCCTAATTTATGTCATATACTAACATACGAAATCTCGTATTTTTAACTGAAAAAAATAAAAAAGTTATAGGGGTGAGCCACTTTTGAGACGCACCCGGTATAGATCAAGCAACAATAATTGAAAGAGTTGGTTATTCCAATTTTAGCTCATCTGGTTGGCAATACATTTAAAAATTTCGAATATTTAAATTTTACAGTTTATTAGAAAATTATTACAGATTAGAAAATTTTACAGAAAATTAAATATGATTTGATGATTGATGAGTTTTTTGTACGAATATTTCTGTACGCACATCGTAAAAATGGAAAATTTTTAGACTACCCTGGTATATCAATGTGTACAATGTATAGCAGTAAAAATATCATGTATATATCAACTCTGAAAATATCGATACCCTGAAATATACGGTATCGTACAATCTAAACTCAATTACCTCTACGAAATCTAATAAGAGTATCTGTTACAAATCTCACATCAAAGACTCCGATCGTATCAATTTCGCAACAGAAATTTGCTTAGAGCATAATATTTCAATTAAAGGGAACAGCAAAAATAAAAAAAAAACACAAAAATTACACGCCACAGAGCTCTGTAATTAATTCGGCATGATTTTCGATCTGCGATTTACGCGTACAATTAGGCTATACGTTGCCAAATAGATCTAACGTCAATCTGATGATGGGACAACGATAAAAAACGAAACGTTTCGATAGCTAACCGGTGATTTTCTCGAATAGCCCGAACAATGAGACACAAACACGATCCTTGGTCGCAATCGCGATAAAATGTATCAAATCGTTTCGACACAGTTTGGTCTTTAGTATATGTGTGTCTAAAAGGTACTACATATAGAGTTTTCCAACGATTTTCTAATGACAGAGATATCATTGCACCCTGATTCTATATCTTCTATACGGAGCAAAATTCTCAAAAATCTACCGTAATAAGGAAGTACAAAATAAGTAAATAAATGTAGATACCTCAAAAATTTAAAAAAAAATGCGTTCTCTAGAATTCCAATCTCGTCGTTCGGTACAGCCGATCCGTACAAAGTTTATGATGCTCTTTCACCTAATAAGAATGAGCTTAGTGCCGTACTTTTACTTTCAAAGTGGTACTGCAGCACGCGTACCTTATAAGTACGTGTAGAGCATGGAATTCCTTTAAAAATATGCCCAGATTTTGCAGACGATACTGTCTCAATAATTGAAAAAACTGACCATCGCATAAAAACAATTCTGTGAAATTATACTTTATATTTTTTATTTAGCTTATTCAACCACTAGCGTGTACAAATTAATCATTTGTAATGGTGATGATAAAGCAAAGCAAGAATCTCCATTAACATACAAACTGGATAAAATTTTCTCACATTTATGTCAGCATGAGAAAAAACAATATGGCGATATTATTATATAACTTGGTAATATTTGAGGGGTAGTTTCATTTCGTTGGAATTTGACTTTCGAAAAATCCGGTTGCCAGAAATAAGCTTTTTACGTCAAGCAGTTTAAGCAGAATCGTGGTTAAGAAATTACTCAACTTTTTGGAACACCCTGTATGATTTTTTAAAAAATTTCAAAATATGTAAAAAAAACCAAATAAATTATGCTTGTCCAAGCGTTTTCCCGAAAGACTAACCGTTTTTTAAATAACAAATATTGTAATATTTGAGGGGCGTTTTCACCCTCTTGGAATTTGAGATTCGAGAAACCCCTCCTTATCGAAAATCTACACCCCACAGTCAATCAGCTTCAAACGTCAAGCAGTTTAAGCAGAATCGTGATTACTCAATGACCAGATTTTTCGAAACACCCTGTATACATTTTTAAAAAATATTAAAATAACAAAATATGTAAAAAAACAAAATAAAATATACGTGTTTAAGCGTTTTTTCGGAAACTTGACCGTTTTTTAAATAGAAAATATTGTAATATTTGAGGGGTGGTTTCACCTCCTTGGAACTGGAATTTCGAAAAATCCCTTCTTATCGAACCTCTACACCCTAGAATCAACCTGTATGCCAAAATTGATCTTCTTACGTTGAGTGGTTTGAGCAGGATCGTGATTAATCAGTGAGTCACTAAAGGATTTTATATATTAGTATAGATTAATTTATTTTTATTTCCTAAAATGTTTTGATTAAAAGAAAATATGTAAAATTGGGCAACTCTGTGCCGGTCAAGCTTAATGACGTGACTAAAAGTGTATTTGGTATGAACTGTACTATCACAAATTTACAATTAAATGACCTACATTTTATTCATTTACTTCCACAAATAGTAGTATAATTTACTTCTCTAATAATAATGTAAGAAAAAAAGGAAAACATACGAAAAGCAACAACTTTGATAATGAATAATATACCACAGCAAATAAATATGCAATTGGGTGGACAAGACAACATGTTAGGAAATACCAAGGTCTGCTAGCTGCAATGTCGAACTATTATGTGCAGTGATATAGATTTTTTTTTCTTAATTTCTGTAGTATTATGTATACCGGACAGGTTGATTGATATACCTGTACTTCTGGACAAAACTAACCCAATAATTCATGAAAATTAAGTAATTACTTTAACAGAAACTTACTTTAAATGTTCTTTTTTATGGAAACTTATAAATTTAATTATACAAACATTTTGATCAAAGGAGCCGATAAAATATTATATTATTTTAATTAATAATCAATAAAATAATAAATTAATATATTATATATATATATATATATATATAAATAAAAAATTAATTTATATATATATATATATATATATATATATATATATATATATATATATATATATATATATATATATATATATATATATATATATATATATATATATATATATATATATTAATCGGTTTAAAACGTTCTACGTCTTCCGATGCCATCTCTCCATGCCTGTCTGTCTCTCCATGCACCGTCTCCGAGAGATCTTTCCTCCATAAACGTGTCAATCCCTTCCTGCCAACTTCTTCTCGGTCTACCCGGTTTTCTTCTTCCTGCAGGTTTCCAGTTTATAATTTGCTTTGGGATTCTTATTTCTGCCATTCTTTGGACATGCCCGTACCATATGAGTTGACTGTTCTTTATGTCGTCCACTATCGTATGTTTAACTTCCATAATCTCTCTTATGCGTTCATTAGTTATTCGTTCGAGTCTTGATTTGCCTGCTGACCTTCTCCAAAAATCCATCTCTGTAGCTTCCAGCATTCGTTTTGTTGTTTCCTTAATTGGCCAGACTTCACAGCTGTACGTGGTTATACTCTTTATGATGGTATTGTATATTAGAGTTTTGTTCTTGCTGTTTATGCTTCTGTCCCACAGTATCCCATTCTTTACCGTGATAGCATTCCTTCCAAGTTGGTTTCGTTCTTTAATTGCTGTATCCAACAGTCCATCATTTGTGATTTGCATACCCAAATATTTGTATTTTGTACAGCACTTAATTTTCTTCCCTTCTTCTAGTATTAGATCTTGTTGTTCTCCTCCGATACACATATATTCTGTTTTGTTAGTATTGATCTCGAGTCCCCATTTCTGATATTCTTTTATAAGCTTACGTGTCATATAATTTATGTCATCGTAATCTTGTGCTATGATCACCTGATCGTCCGTGAAGCAAAGTGTGTAGAGCATGTTATCCCCTATGGGTACTCCCATATTTCTACATTTTTGCTTCCAACCTTTGAGAACTTGTTCGAGATATATCTTGAACAGTGTTGGTGAAATACAGCACCCTTGTTTCAGACCTTTGGTTCCATTAAATCCTGTTGTTAACTTTTTAATCATAACTTTCGTTATTTCTTTCCTTAAAAATCAACAAGAATATTTTATCGACATCAGAACAATGAAATACGTATAAAAGAAACATTGTAACAGAAATTATATATCCAGTAGCTCAGACAAATCAATACCAATTTATGTAAAAAAATGTGAATAATATTAATATTGAATGCATGCCATATGAGAAAAGCTGCACAAGTCAAAGAATGTGATAGAAGTGTTTAAATAAAGCGTTTTTTTTATTATGGTTTCAGTGAGCTAACACCAGTGGAAACGTGGGAGCTGAAAAACAAAACGGTAAGGACATACAAGTGGTGCCTGAACGTACCACCAAGATGCTCAGAGTACCGAGTGAGGCCAGTCAATGAATCAAAAATAATCGTAAGTCAATAACAATTTTTTTTTCAAAATGTTACGCTACCATAAAGACTTCGGCGTCTATTCTGGCTTTTGTGGCCTTCGAACGATTACGTGGTCCAATTGATGCCAGTGGCCTGATCTGGGATGTTTCCAGGTACCTTTAAACTTGTCCTTCAACATGAACCACGTATTTGTGATGCAAAGATTATATTCTGAGCATGTTGTTAATAAGCGTTCACCATTGCTATTTACGTTTCCTATTCCATGTTTTCCCAATACGTCAGGCCATATTTCCTGTTGTTTGCCGACATGGGCTTTAAAGTCACCTAGCAAGATGATTCGTTCGTGCTTTGGAATTCGTTGGAGAACATTTTGTAGAGCTTGGTAAAATTTATCCTTATCCTCAATTTTAGCGTCTAGGGTGGGAGCATAGACACTCATGATGTTGACGTAAATTTTGTCTGATATAGGGTACCTTAGGGTCATAAGACGTTCGGAGACACCAATAGGTACTTCTGTTAATTTGGTGGCGATTTTGTTTTTGATTGCAATGCCTACGTCATGAATTCTCCTGTATATTGCGGGGTGACCCTTTCAAAAGAAGATGTAATGTTCCTCAGTGATACTACCTTCATCCGCAAAGCGGGTTTCGCTAAGAGCGGCAATATCTATATTTAATCGGTGGAGTTCCTGTGAGACCAGTGCTGTTCTTCTCTCTGGTAGATTTGAATTTATCTTGTCCAGTAGAGGTTGTAGGACATTTTCCACGAAAATTTAAAGGGGATTAACATGCAAAATGAATGGGAAGAAGCAGCTAACAATAGAACTCAATTTTCGGTACGAAATTTCCAACAGTAAAATGCAACTAGTAAACTGCTTCAGAATGAGAAACTCGACATCATTGAGTCCACAAAAGCTCTAAAAGCTATCGACGACTATTTTGTCAAAATAAGGACTGACGACCATTTTAGAGAAATATTAGTGGATGCTGCATAGCTGGCAGAAGAGCTGGAAATTGAAGCAGTTTTTACTAATGACATTAGAGCTTGTCCCAGAAAAAAAAAACTAGACAGTTTTTGTATGAATCAGTGGATGAGCCAATTTTTGGATCCACAGGAAAAGTTTCAAATCGATTTTTTCTTTGTTGTCCTGGATACAATCTATGAGGCTCTCCAGGAAAGGTTTGACCTGGTAAAAACTCACTCGGACTATTTTTCGTTTTCATACGACTTCACAGTTCTCAGGACTATCAACGAGAGGAAATAACAAAGCATTGTATGGATCTTCATCTCTATTTAATGGACAAACGTGATATTAATGGCCTAGAGCTTCGGGACGAGATATTAGCTCTATTTGCTCTAATACCACCAGATAATGCCGAACACTTCAGTTGTCCAAAACAAACACTAAAATATTTAAAAATTCACGATCTGATTGGAAACTTTCCAAATATTTACTCTCCATAAGAATCTTATTAACGCTGCCGGTTTCAGTGGCAACCGGAGAGAGAAGTTTTTCTAAACTCAAAATAATTGAGAATGTCCTGAGATCAAGTATGACACAAGAACGATTAAGCGGATTATCTTTAATATCTATTGAGCACGAAATAGCGAACAGTCTAAACATCGACGATTTTATTTCAGACTTTGCCAAAAAAATAGCAAGAAAAAAGTTTTAGTTTTGTCCATGTTAGGAATTTTGTTTCTCACGATTATGTCTATGTATTTATTACGAATTTTGTTTTGTTAATGATTTATAATAATTTATATTACCTAGTTTTAGGCGTTAGTTTGGCTAATGTACCTTATAATGTTTTTTTTTTATTCTTATTAGGTACCATTTCTTACCATCTGTGGCACAACTTTCATTTTTTTTTTTCACACCTGTTTTTTCGGATCAAACTTCGCACTAATAAAAAAACGATTGTCTGTAATCTTTAGTCATCAGTGTCATATTTGTGATGCAGAAAACACAGTTATATGACAAATTTTACAACTACGCACTATAATATGATCTAGAATTACGTATAAATAAAAGTAATAAAACATATAACTTTCCTTGTACGCAACAAAACGCAACAAACTAGTTATAGTGTCAAGGGTGATAAAGCCGGTATTTTGTTTAAACAAGAACAATTTCTCTAACGCAAAATGCCGAAGAAAAGAAATTACGTGATATAAATTCTTAGTTGAGCATTTTTATCCTTCCACGTGAGTGTCGAATGTGATCAGAATAAACAGCAGATGTCGCGCGAGATTGAATTTAAAACATTTTGTTGCATAATTGACACAAAAAAAGTAAAAACCTGATTGTTTGAGTTAATTCAAAAAGCAGGAAGTAACTCTTAGAGCACCCAGAGACGCTCAGTTCTTCAGCACAGGTTGCACATAGTCCAAGAGCCGGATGCAAAAACATGTAAGAGTTTTCTGGAGGCTCAAATCTTCAAAATCGATTCTACTTTAGTGTTAAAATGAAAAGGTACAGTCAGCAGTTCCAAAGTAACTCAAAATACAACTGTGGTCATTTTTAAGAATGTTTGTTTGTACTCTTTTGGACTTGAACCATTTTGTCTCTGAAAATAATTGAAATTTTAGATATAAGACTGTCTTTAATTAAAAATTGAACCTAATATGAAAATAAGATTCTAGCGAGAAAAAATCATATTTAAAACTGAACCTATACTTATGCTTTCATATTTTGTAATCTTCTATTTCGATCCAATAACAAATATTTTCTTAATTTCACTTCACCAAACGTTAATAACCGTAATTTGGAAGGAAAAGAACAGAAATAACTAAGTCTATTAGGCAATGTTTGTTTTCTAATAATGCTTTGTATCGAGCGGGTTACAAAATGTGGCATTTTTTGCTCGAAACGTGGTCAGTGGTATGTAAACAAAAAGGAATTTTTGCTTCTGAGGTCAAGGTAGATTAATAAAATTTTGTATTACACAGAGAATATAATATGAAGAGCAGACTTACTAAATGCATTTTGTCCTTCTTTTTAAGATTTTCAACCAAAGATGGCATTACAATCTACATACACAGAGTTAAAATCTGATGCCAGAAACGCCGTGTTAAAAAAAACCTTAGACTTTCTATGTGCTGTATGTCCCTTGACGATAGATAAACAATCAACAGAAGTATGTCCTTTTGTGCTGTGGACATACTGCTCTTTGTTTGTCATTGCCAGATGAAGAGTCTTTTTTTGTACCTACTACAACTTCTCCATTTTTTAAATAATACTACTTAAAAGGAATCTATTACGAGTAGAAAAAATATTGTGCTGGGTTGGCGTTGGTTTCTATATAATTTGACAAATAAATAAAGCTGTCTCTTTAGTTGTCAGTTTTGAGTCAATATTTTTTAATTCTCTTTCGTGTCGATTGCCGATTGAATTGGAGCCAGAAATGGCTTAAAACGAAATAAGTAAATTACCAACATTCAGGCTAAGGCGACAAACGCCGTATCCAAACTACTTCCATTTAAATCCCGAATAACTTATGAAAAGGAATACAAAAATTTTCAAAAATGGAAGCAATTAAAAAACGTGCGAGAAGAAATAAAGTTTTTAACCTATCCTCGCTGTTAAAGTATCATTTAATCTACCCTTGCGGTTAAAGTACTATTTTATCTACTATTTTTGATAGATATAAGGCAATTTTAAGAGTTGCTGTGGAAAAAATAAAGAGAAATTTCACGTTTAAAGGACAGTCAAGAATTTTTTTTTAAATTTTTTCAGATATCATCGAAACTAAATTTTTCACATGTAGGTGTACTATTTTTATGATTTTTATCCATTTTTCAAATTTAGTAGTTTCTCAGTAAGTTTCTTGCAAAAAGTGTGGCAGTTTTTCTTTGTGTTCCAAAATTTGAAAAAATGGGCAAAATGCATCTAAAAAGTCTGCTCCTGAATTGTGAATAATGAACTTATTCTGATTCTAAAAATACGTAGTAGTTTGACAGACATCCTGTATATGTATTTCATGCGTATTATAAATTGAATGTAAAAAATGTTATATTTAACATCTCTGGTTAATAAAATAGGTGTATATTGTTATAAATTATTAACAACTACCCGGATTTCAACAGATTTCAATACAGTTCACGGACTTAAGCAAAAACGGTCGAATCAGCGTGATTTGCTCTTGAGCTATATCAGATTTTTGCGGTAAATTGAACTTTTTTCTTCTTTGTCTCGCTTTTTTTAGGGCGTTGGCACATTATTAACCGGATTTGTACTTTGGAATGTAAAGTTTTATAATTTCTGTCATTTTTAACTACCTAGTTAGTTCTTGTAACTTTTTACTCACTTAATAACAAAATTACGACCAAAATTACAACCCAAAATATGGGCTGTCCCAAGGAGAAACACAGTAATATACATAATCTATCTATTGCTGTCGTAAAAATTTAGGTTTACAGCAAAATAACGAAGATACAGACTAAAAAAAACAGTATCTTAAATGTAATCGCTATAACACAGCAAATTTTACTCTTAATTTCTCACAAGACACGAGAGTCACAAGGATAATAAAAACATGGCAAAATGGACAAACAAGGCTAGTTTATGACATTCTTTTGGCCATTTCACGGTTCTCTCACAGAGACAGATCAAACTACATATTAAACGTATGTAATTATATACAGCTTGCTAAAAAATTCATGAAAATAGGGCTAAAAATAACAAAAATATATCACTTTAAATTTTACCAAAAAATTTTCCGTTGCGTTTTTTTTGCATCTGAGTATAGTAAAAAAATCACATAATATACCATGTCGCAGATAACATTTCGATGTTTTGTTACCTGTCTCGAGAGAAAGTACCTACGGTTGTACTCATACGTATATCATTGAACAAAATCTCCCAAAGGGCTGTTGAAAAAAAGCCACTGCCATTAAATGGCTACGGTCCAGCTACCTCGCCTTGCGGTGACTAAGAAAATCCCATTTTTTCGGGTAGTACCGCTTTACATAATCTCGTTTCGCATTGTTTTCAGTACTGCAATAAGGTCGACATTTGTCCAGCGGAACTTACGGGCAAGTTTGAACGACAATAAATTCATTATTTAATTATGTTTTCTCCGATATCGAAGGTTAATCCGTTTAAATTATCTGGGGAACGAGTGGTTAAAAGGAAAATAGATTTTCCTGTCTATAATAGGAAAAATCGGCTTGAAAAGCTTGTTTTTCAAGTTATATAGGAACTGGTAGATTTTGTAATTAATGAGGTTTTTCCTCATTATACAGAACAGGATATAAATTGCCCTGGGCATCAGTCAAGAAACAGAAAAATATCATTCAGTTTTAAGTAATACATGTCAATAAAAAAAAGAATAAATTCGGGATATTTTTATTTTTTTAAATTAATCTTAATTTTTTTGCGAAGAAATGATGATAAAACAGTTTCTGTTGAACTTTTGTGAAATGTGAAGAAAAAATGTGAAGAACACCGCACGATCAGCCTTATGTGTCACACACTTAAGATCTTTCTCAAAGTCATCCACTGCAGGATTTACAGAAAATTAGAAGAAGATATAGCAGATACTCAGTTTGGCTTTAGAAATGGTTTCGGTACTAGGGAGGCTTTGTTTGCCTACAATGTCTTAATGCAGCGATGCCTTGATGTCAAATAAAATGTATATGCCTGCTTTATTGACTATAATAAAGCATTTGATAAAGTAAGACACAAGCAACTAATAGAAGCGTTAGAACGAAAAAATATTTATATATTTCTCTAAGACCACGATTTTAGCGTCATCTTGAAAAGATATAGAGATAGGGAGGCTATAACACCTTATAGAACAAGGTTGCCGTTCACCAACCTACCGATTATAAATTTTTATACCAACCTGTCCGTTTACTTTTGTTATTTTTCTTTAAACACTTCCTATATTAATTTATTCCTCAAAAATCGTGTATAATAACTATTCAGATTACTCATTACCAGGGCAGGTTTCACAGGAAACTCTGTATTTAATGAAATCATTTTCTAATCACTTTATAATAGACATATTATATTGACTTTTAAAGTTATACCATTCGCTCTAAAAAAAACTCCGTCTCAGTAACCTTAGAATTAACCCTATCAGCATGAAGGAAAAAAACTGACAAAAATTGGTAAATACAGGGTTGTTCACCACATACGACACGGAGTATTGTAGCTAAACGATTAGATTTTTACAAATTGTAAGTTTTGAGTTCGTTGAAGGACTATTAGAGCTACAATTTAAAAATATTTTTACAAGATACAGAGTGTCCCAAATAAGTAAAAAATATCATAGTTGTATTTTTTTAAATAGAACACCCTGTATATTAGGGCATAGAAATATTATATTATTCTATTTTTGGATTCTACGATTGCAATAAAGGTAAATTTGATTAAGGTTTATCACACTTAAACCTTACCGTTTTTGAAATATTTTCAATTTTAAGAAATTGCAGTAAAAATTTTAATGCCTCATTTCTCCAAGGGTATCAAAGTTTTTAATACTAAATATTTACTGAAGATTATTTATTGATCAGATATTATGTTGCAATAATAAAAATTTTACTACCTTATACAGAGTGTCCAAAAATTTATATTAAATAATTACTAGCTTTAAACGGCAATAACATGTTTAAGTTAAATGGAACACCCTGTATATTTTACGTGAATCATATGCGAATTAATTGTCTATCAAATTTTATTATACCATTTTTTACCTATCTCTGCAACTTTTCGTAGAAAACGCATGTTCTTATAATTTAGACCTCATTTATCACTATACCCATGGAATATTGACATTTCAGGTTTTTTTTAAGCAACATATATGCACAAAATGTACAGGTGGTAAATATTGCAAGCCTATTGGTATACCAAAATAACTATTTAAATCTTTATAAAAGGGTATACGAATTAAATATACCACCATTATTTCCGACCAAAAATTAGTTAATTACATACTTTTAAATTGTTTTAATTAATAAAGTATTCTAAATAAATGTGGATTTGGCTCAGAAATCAATATAATAATAAATTATGAAAATAAACGTCTCTGTTTTTATAAATCAGCATTCGTCAAAAAATGAAATAAAATTTATAAGGCGTTACTTTTTACCACACTGTCTAATACACACACAAAATTCAGTTTTTTAGTATTTGGAGCAATTATTATTAATCAACATAAACAGTCAATTAATGTAGTCTGAATACTGGGATCATATTAATTGGTCCTTTTTAACAAAAATATTTAAACAGTTTTTTTAATTTTTTTTTATGAAATAAGCGATCTATATCGACAATATTAGTATCTGTACTCTCGGAAAATTTGTTACATCTTTAAAAATAATCTAAAATGTCAATATTCCATGGGTATAGTGATAAATGAGGTCTAAATTATAAGAAAATGCATTTTCTACGAAAACTTGAAGAGATAGGTAAAAAATTGTATAATACAATTTGATAGACAATTACATTGTGCATCTGATTCACGCAAAATATATAGGGTGTTCCATTTAAATTAAACGCACTATTGCCGTTTAAAGCTAGTAATTATTTAATATACATTTTTGGACACTCTGTATAAGGTAGTAAATTTTTTATTATTGCAACACAATATCTGATCAATAAATAATCTTCAGTAAATATTTAGTATTAAAAACTTTGATACCCTTGGAGAAATGAAGCCTTAAAATTTTTACTGCAATTTCATAAAATTGAAAATATTTCAAAAACGGTAAGGTTTAAGTATGATGAACCTTAATCAAATTTACCTTTATTTTAATGGTAGAATCTAAAAATAAAATAATATACAGGGAGTTCCATTTAAAAAAATACAACTATAATATTTTTACTTAGTTGGGACACTCTGTATCTTGTAAAAATATTTTTAAATTGTAGCTCTAATAATCCTTCAACGAACCCAAAACTTACCATTTGTAAAAATCTAATCGTTTAGCTACAATACTCCGTGTCGTATGTGGTGAACAACCCTGTATAGTTAATTCTAATTCAATATCATTTTAAGATGATGAACAATACAAGGACAATTGAAGTTTGTTGCGATGGCTTTGAAGAACACCATGGATTCTGTTTGAGCTCTTGCGGAAGCTGTGGCAATGGTTTTTGCAGGCACGGCATTTGTGAATGCCATCACGGATGGCAAGGAATGCATTGTGAAACTCGTAGGTACAAATTTTAACTTGTCTAATCCTAGAACAACATATAGAATTCAAAGTACAGCGTGAACATTTTATTTTGGTCCACTTGACGTACTATTTGTTTTAATTAATATATATATTATTTAAATAATTACATTTTTAACATAAAATCAAACAAAATAAAACATTTTATGCAGTTTACATATATTTATGTTACAGCACTGACCAAAAGTGATACTAAAAACATAGAGGACGTTTTCATGGAAAAAAGCTACAGTATTTTAAACCAAACGTTGAAAACTGAAGAATCCATATCCACAACTAGTGTTTCAAATGAAACCAGATGGGTTTCTTCAACTTTAGTAACTGATATTTCAATACCAATAGGAACTAGTACTGAAGAAGTAACTGTTCCATCAAGATCAATACAGATTTCAACTTCGCTAAGTACAAATACTGTAAAAGATGCTATTTCAACAAGCTCAATAATAGGTTTTTCGACTTTTTTCGATACTAGTACTGAAAAATCAACTCTCTCTTCAAGATCAACACAGATTTCGACTCCACAAAGTACTAGTAGTGAAAAAGCAATGGTTACAACTAGTTTAACAAAAATTTCAACTCCTTTAAATACCAGTACTGAAAAAGAGAATATTTTAGAGATTTCAACAGAAACTATACCATTCCCTCACCAGAAAACAAGTTTTTCCCAATCAACCAGTGATGATAATTCATTTAATACAATTATAACAAAGCCATCGTCAAGTTTATTTACTACAAGTACCTCATTTTCGTACAGTAAAGAAAGTACTCCTACTCAATCATTACACACAAGTACGCCTAAATCTCAGTTCACAGAAAATGGAAATGAAGGTGACATTGATTACAGAGAATTAGGTGGTAAAAGTATTGAACTGGATTCATCTGAACTGTTCAACTCAGAAGAAGTTGTAGTCTCAAGCACGATTAGACCATCAGTTCAGGCAGAATCGTCAGAAACCCTACTAAAATCACTGTCTAGTGACGAAGATCAGTTAAAGAAGTACAAGTCAGTGTTCCTGGCAAATATAATCGATAGATCCGATGTCAGGAAGCACCATACTGTCCAGGGGGATGTCAGTGACCACCATGACGTCACTGAGCAGGATCCCACAGGGAAAAATCTGATATACAGTGTGTGCGCTGCTTCAATAACTACTGGAATTATTTTAGTGGTTGTCATTGTTTTTGTGGCTTTGAGGAAGAACAAAAAAAGAATGGGGAAGGATGAAGAGAAGAAAGATGTGGCAACCGTGGCTGTATATACAACCAGTATATTTCATACACCGCTACCAGGTATGAAGCATATGTACAGGGTGGCCCGAATTCGACGCTCATCATTGGGATTTCGGAAACCGTAAGAGATACTGGATCGGTTGAATGGAGGCAAAGTTGCGCAATTTGATGCTCAATAAAATGCCGTATTGCATTTTATTTTTATTTTTTGCATAAAATATTCTGGTGATGGAATTTTCTGTACGAAACGTTGGCAAATATCAAAGTGACTATATAGAGTGTTTTAAGAGTGATGAAAAGATTTAATTAAATTGAAAAAAAATTTCAGGCCCGTATTTAAAAAAAATAAGGTTAGGAGCTTAGTAAGGAGCAGAAAAAGTGGCCATGAAAATGTCTTTTTCATTTTACCTTATCTTAACAAATAAAGCCAGGAAACAATAGAAAACAGAATTGAAAATTCCGTTTTTTTTTCAAATATATTCGGAAGTATTCGGAATTTTTCAAAATGCAATACGTCAATTTATTGAACATCAAATTGCGCAACAATCTCCATTTTACCGATCCTGTATCCCTTACAGTTTCCGAAATCCCAATGATGAGCGTCGATTTCGAGCCACCCTGTACAGGGTGTCTTTTTTTCGTGTGTTTTACAAGTTCTTTATGAGTAGAGGACAAAAATGCGGTTTTCACATTAGATACCTTTTTATGAAACTAAAGAAGCTACACACAAATTTGTCCTAGCCCCCGTAGTGCCTCTGATATACTGTGAATTTAAAATTGCGCCATTTTTCGTATCTTTATAACTTATCGAAAAAAGATGAAATCTGGAGGATACCCTGTAAGTTATTTATTATTTTATTTGCTTTTTATGATATTTCTAAAGATATACCGGGTGCTATACTTCACTAACTTTTTTAATTTTTCAGATAAAAAAAACGACATTTGGTATGTTAGTATATGACATAAATTAAGATTGATTGACGTATTCAATTGTTTTTAGTCACTTCCTTTTTCACCGGAAATGACTGCAACTTTTGATTTAATGGCACCCTCAGCATTTTTTTACTTTACTCGATAGGGTGTCATTTTCTATCGAATAAAGTAAAAAAATACCGAGAGTGTCATTTAAAAATCAAAAGTTGTGGTCATTTCCGGTGAAACAGGAAGAGACCGAAAACAATAGTGAGCCACAATGGTGAGCCACTTTTGAGACGCACCCGGTATAATATACACTATAATAAAATTTGACTTAGAATAAATTATTTGATTCTTTTGACTACCCTATAGTACCGGCCACCTATGATAAAAAAACATAATTTAAGTTAATTTTAGCATAAACTCAGCGAAAAAGTATTTAAACCATTGAATTCTACGTGAAAAACTCTATAGGACAGAATTTTTACCTTTTCGATAAGTTATAAGATAACCAAGATACGAGAGGGGAGTCAAAAAATGCAACAATTTCAAATTCACCCTGTATGTCAGGAACTAAGATGGCTAGTACAAAAAAAAGTAGCACAGTAATATGAAAACCTTATCTTTATATGGCTACTCATAAAAGAAAAACCCAAAAAACAAAAGAAATGAGACACACCCTCTATGTACAAACTCTAAAAATTTAATTTTTGAATGCTTTTGATCTAATTCGTTTAATTTATCTCTTTAAATATAGCGTAAAGAATTTATTAGACAACACTAATATTAAAATACGATTTAAAAAAAAATAAAAAAGTTTTTGACCCCGACGTGATTTGAACACGCAACCTTCTGATCTGGAGTCAGACGCGCTACCGTTGCGCCACGGAGTCTTGTTGGAATTGTTTGCAATACCTGTATTTGAACAGTTTCTATCTGATTTTTATGTTATTTCAGAACCGCCTAGCTTTGAAAATCCTTCATATATAACTGCGACAGACAGAAATTCTTGGAAAAATCCAATAGAATCTATAGAAGTTCGAGATATTTTGCCATATCCTTCAAGAGATTGTAAAACAGGTAAGAAAATTACATAAACACCTTATTAATTCATTTATTTCTCTAACATATTACATTTTTTTCTCTTTTGTTTTCATCAAACGTCAAAAATTGACAAAATTAATATAACACAATTGTTGTAAATATTTCACAAGTCTTCTAGAAAGATTAAAAACTGTGTTAAAAATTAGAAGTCGCTTTTTTAATGGAACCTTCACCATTTTGTCAATAATTAATAGTATATCTATAAAAAAACTTAAAAAACGTTGCTGTTAAGCTAATTAAAAATGTTTTTGCTTTTCTCTAGAATTCAAAACATATCTCTACGATCATCCACCATCCACAGGTAGCTACAGGGCGTCGTCTAACATAGATGCTCTATCACAGTACAATAATTCAAGAAAACTATCTTTTACCGGAACAACAGTTCTTGATCCGGTTTATGATGAGATACCAGGTAACGAAGAAGAATATTCAGTGCCTAAAAAATCGTATAGGCCTGTGCCTAGGGAGGCGGATAATTTTAATTTGTACATGAACACATGTAGAAGTACGAAATTTTAATCAATAAAAACTACATTTTAAAGTATTAAAAGCTTTTATTTTAAAGAAACAATATATTTCAAGTTTACCAGCCCTAAAAATACCGTATAATCGAAAAAAACGGTCCAGTTGGCTGGGAAATGACGAATCCCATATAAATTTACATATAAAATGACAGCGATCTTCATTTCAAAGCCATCGCTGACACCATTTTTTTTTCGATCATACGGTACAATAAGACCGAAAAAAAGGCGTCAGAGGTGGCCTGGAAATGAAGATCGCTGTCATTTTATAAGTAAAATCATATAAATAATCCAAATCTATAAATTGTGTAAAATATTAGGCTTTTGGGTTAAAAATGGCGCCCTAAAAAGCATATTCTGCATTACTTTTAAAATATGTCCCGTAAGAAAAAAACGGCGTCAGAGTTAGCTTAGAAATGAACTCGCTTTCTATTTATAGGCAAGATTATGATGGTAAATGCCATCGATTGTCAATTCTAAGACAACTTGACGCCGTTTTTTTCCAATCATACGGTATTTTTAAAAATCAGAAAATAGTATTTCGTATGTCGCTACAATCTACAATATATTACGATAAAAAAAAACAGCGTCAGAGATACCTTCGAAATGAAGCTCGCGCAAGATTTTATTCCATTATTTCATAAATAATACCGTATGTTCGAAAAAAGACGGCGTCCAGATGGTTAAGAAATGACGATCGATGACATTTCCCATATAAAATGACAGTGATCTTCATTTCATGGCCATCGCTGACGCTGTTTTTTTTTCGATCATACGGTACATCATGATAAGAAATGGTACTATTTTTGCAGTTTAGTAAAGATTTTGGGGAAACTGGACAACCCAAACATGATCTATTCGATTTTTTGCAAACAGGTAGGAATAAAAAAAACACAAAAAATATTTTTAATATAGTTTATTTAAATATTAACATAAAAATAAAATAATACACTGACTGTACATTTATAAGATTGAACACTGTAGTATAAATTACCAAAGGGCAAGTGATAGCTAAATCTCTGATTTTTAGTTTTTCAGAAATATACAGAGTGCACCATTTTATTCATTAACACAAATTTCAATAGCTGAGTGAATTTTTACATGCAATTTTTTCTTAATATTGAAACACCTTGTATCTAAAAAAGCGCGTGTTTTAATAGCTTTAAATGCTTTTAAAAATGGGACACCCTGTACAACAAAACCCCCTAAGAGGGCATATCGAACATAATTAAAAAAAAAAGAGAAAACTGAAAAAAAAAACGCCGTCACGTTAGGAGTAGACATATTTTTTTATTTAAAGAGTTAATGACGATAAAATTAACTGTCACTGTCAAAAATTTAATAGGCACAGAAATGTTATTTCTATGTCTACTATGACACCATTTTCACATGGAATTTCATCAATCATAACTTAAAAAAAATAGAGAAAACTGTAAAAATCCTGCGACTGAAAAAAAACCGTCGCGCTAGGCATAGAAATATATTTATTTAAAGCTTTACCATGTCTCTCACTGAAGTTTGAGGGTAACAGTGACAGTTCTTGACGGCGATTAAATTATGTAACAGTGAAAAACTTTAGTAGACATAGAAATGTTATTTCTATGCCTACCATATCACCTTTTTCACACGGAACACTTTTTCAACTGAAAAAATGCTTGAAAGTTTGATTTCTATCACCGCTTCATCATTGTATAAATGTATAAAAAAATATTAGTAAAATAAAAACACCTGAACAAAATTTATACTACAATATTTCCAAACTTTCTCCCTTATAAATTATAAATAATATTAATAATAATTATGTATAATTAACTTGTATTTTTTTTGAGTTCGACTATATGTACAACATCGAAATTGCTATGTAGAGAAAAAAAATGTAAACAATTTTTAATTTTGGGTTTGCACATTCCTAAGTCGTGTATATAATATTTATCTTACCCAAAAAACGAAAAATTATACTGAATATTTGTTATATATAAAAAATATCTTTTAAAACTGGTACATATTATAGTATACGGGGTGGTCCGTGTTTTGAACCGTCCCGTATAAGGCTGAATGGCTACTATATCAGTATATTCCTAAACAATTACTTACCGACCATTGCAACTCTTTCTCAAAAAAATATCTTACACAAGTATCAGTTAAAATACTCAGTCAGGTTAATCGTATTTACACATTTAACAGAATAAAGAAATAGTAATAATATAACCGTATGATCGAAAAAAAAAACGGCGTCAAGTTCTCATTTCCAAGCCATCTATGACGCCGTGTTTTTTTCGATCTTATGGCATTTGTTAACGCGCAAATTCCAAAAAAAGGCAGGACGTTTTTTTTAATACACAGGGTGTCCAAATGTTCCAAAAAAAATCTATCAGGTTTCCTGTTCAGATTTTAATTCTAAATATGCAAGCAATAATAGAGAGACATTTCAACAATATCTTTATTAATATACAGGGTATCTCAAAAACTGTTTAAAAAGTGGGATTTTTTTAATTATCGAGTTTTTTTAAAAGAAGTTCAGTTCTAAAACATCAACTATAAAAACATTTTGACACAATATGTCATAAGATAAATGTCATAGCAACAAACTACAAAAATCCTGCAAAGTGCAAAGTTTCAAAAATATACAGGGGTTCCAAAACACGCTGGTTTTTTTTATATTTTCGGGAAGATTTTCAAAAAAATTCATTTTTTTCGTTAAAATTACATAAAACAAAGTAAATCCAACAAAAATAATTCCCAATATAATATGTTTTATTCATGTTTCTGTAAATAATTATTGTGTAACACAAAAAATGGAATTTTTAAAAATACCAATGGCTTGAAAGTCCCTGTATATTTATGAAACTAGGTACATAAACGTAGAATATTTTCTTTTCACAACTTTTATTTTCTTTGATTTTTTCTGGTATTTTGTCACATAACCCCACTTTTTGCAAACGTACAGAATATTTTTATATTTTGAAACCATGACAGTTATCACATGATGTGTCAAAATAATTTGTTTCCTCATTAAACACGCTTAAGAAATTCTATATAACTTTTTTTTCAATAATTCAATAATAAAAAGTGTTCCCATTTGTTGCAAACTTTCTAACACACTCTGTAGTTTTGAAAAAGACACTGCTCTACAGTTATTCAAATTGAAATGCATTAAAAATAGAAGAAAAACTGTCAAAAATGTCATATTTAAAAAAACGTTCATTAAAAACTATAATTATGTATTACAAAAAAAAACGGCGTCAACTTGGCTTGGAAATGACGATTTCCAAGACCTCTTTGACGCTGTTTTTTTTTTCGATCTATTAATTAACTTTTAAAACTTCAAACAGAAACCTGACAGAACTTTATCGCAACAATAAACCACCCTGTATATCCTTCAAGAATCATGTAGTATGATTGGACCAAACAATAATAATAAAAATACCCTAAATGTTAACTCTTAAATACGTGCTTTCTTCTTGCTTTGAGCCAATCATACCCTGAATTCGACCCTTTTTTTAATGAAAACATTTTTAGGTTATGTTAGATGCATTGAACTAAGGTTGAACCCTTTCCTTTACTGAACCCTTTCGAACAAAGTATCCAAAAAATGTTGAATCTTTTGGGTTATGTCAGATGTTCAGCCTTCCGACATTGAACTAAGGCTGCTCCTGGTCGAACTCAAGCCTATTCTGCTGCAGGAATCGGTGTTGAGGTCGGTAAGGTCAGGGGGTAAGGTCAAGGGCGCGCCCATCGGGCCGTAGATGCGTTCCTGTTCCTCCAGCTGTTGCATGAAGGTCTCCTCCAGTTTCTGCAAAAGTTTTTTGATAAAAATAACAAGGAAAAAAAAGAAAGATTTTTTTCAGAACAACGACAAGTCTTCTAAGACGGATTACTTGTTTACTTAGATTCTGCTGTATTTTTTTATTGACTATGGATTCAAAAAGTTTGCTTCATAATTAGAGTACTATCACTATTTTTATGTAATTCTGATTTAATTTTCAGTATGATATTAATTACATGAAGAAAATGACGAAATCGACGTTTCTGCGTGTAGTAGGTATAGGCCATATTATATGTAAAAATAGGTAATATATTAACTGTTTTTATATTTTTTTAGCTTTAAACCCAAGGATCTTGGGATATTCTTTGCCAAGGATTTTTCCGTATCTCTACTTTAAAGACTGATCGGTGATTTTGAGCAATTGAAAGCAAGTTATACAAGGTAAATTATGATTATTGAACTATTATTAGCCTACATTAATTTTCTACAAGATGAACAGAAATCGTAATTACATATCACATAGGTACCTATTATGTATTTTCATAGCAATAATGCTATAAATCTATGTATGTAGATTATTTTTAAAATACAAATGAGGTATTAGATGTATATGTATCATATTTTTTATTCATTTTATTTTCATTCAAGTCCTGTTTGATTTAATTCACAAAAGTCTTATGTACCTATATTTATGTTTTTTACATATTTTTTTTGATTCCAGGTTTTGTGTGGGTTCCGGTTGCCTTTTTCCTGCTTCCAGTTATTTAGTTTTATGCCCGTGAAGCTGTGAAAACATTTATGTATCTTCAAGTTTCTGTAAGTCAATGCACTGTTACTTTACTAATTCACTTTAACACAGCATCTCTGATATTATTTAAATATTCGATATTGATACAGTAGTTTATTGGTTTATAGCTCTTTAATTGTGTTGATTTGCATATTTACATTGTTCTAAATTCCAAATAAATATTTTTGAGTAATTTTGTTGTATTATTTACTACTAGAAAGAGTAAAAAGTATATTAACCCTCATTTAAACCTTCTGAACAGCCCGCCATTAAAAACCGGAAACGGAAATAAATTTCATAAAATTGAAATTGTCATGTCTATGTCATGTCAAATGTCCCAGCCGCCATATCTGAAAATTAGTTACCCAGGCAGCCATCCATAATTTAACATTGACTTGACACTTCTTCTTGTATTTATTATTTTATGGATGCAACCTCAAACAAATAATAGCAATATATTTTACTTAACCTCCAAGTGTCTCACCCCTATAACTTTTTTTACTTTTTCAGTTAAAAAACAAGATTTGGTAGGTATGTTAGTATATGACATAAATTAGGATTGATTGACGTATTCAATTTTTTTTGGTGAACCGGAAATGACTACAACTTTTGATTTTTAAACGGCACCCTCGGTCAGAAAAGACAAACCCTCAAACAGAATGACATATCATATGTCAACTTTTGACATTTTCGCACATGGTTTAGTTGAAATTGTAACATGCGGTTCATAACGACAATTTGACTCGAAATACCAAGTATGTGGTACCAAATTATTGGTAAAAAAATACTTTTTCCAAATATGCTAATGAGCCATCCTTCTATTTAAAAAAACTGAGATATGATTAAAAATACAATTTGGGTAACTTTTATCCGGCCAGAACAAGACACGAAAAACATTAAATGGCCAAATCTGTTTTTCCAAGGCTTCTTGATTAAAAATTAGTGTTTTTAACACAGCCATGGCACTCTAGAGTGAAATTTAAAATACTATTTCTTTTTAAGCGAAAATGCCAAAAGTTAACATATGATATGTCATTCTATTCAGAGTTTCATTTTAAAATAAAAATATATCGAGGGTGTAAAATTTTAAAGGCATTAAGGCATCTAAAAATCAAAAGTTGTAGTTATTTCCGGTGAAACAGGAAGTGACCAAAAAGAATTGAATACATCAATCAATCCTAATTTATGTCATATATAGTATTTTTAATACCTATTTAGAGGTACCAGCCGTTTTAGTAACTTAACGTATGCGGCTTCTTGCACCATCTACACCCGCATGAATAAAATTAGGTTATGACCTTTGTCATGTCAAATGCTTGACATATTTCTTATTGCATTGGCGGAGTGACTTGAAATTTCATATTATCAGTGGCGGTTTATAATAATAAAAATTAATTTTATGAAATTCTAAAGATGTTGACATAATAAAAAAAATATAGAAGAAGCGCACTAATTTTAAAAATATTGTTTTATTAACTAGATACCGAGTTTTCTTAAAAAAATACCTATATTATTTAAGATCTCGATTTAAGGCTTATACCAAAGAATATCTTAACTTATACTTATGCTTAATGTAGTAAACTATATTCAAAACGATTTAGGATCTCGATTTAAGGCAATTCAATAAGCGTCTGAAGCACTAAAAGTATAATAAATAATATAACAAGAAGTCGAGCAAGCAGTAGTAATATTTATTTAAGGGCTCGTTTAAGTAAAAATTCTACAGAAAAACAGGTGTAAAGAGCTTTTCGCTTTTAGCAGCATAGTATTTGTTCAAAAATAATATTCTTTTTAATCTGATTCCAGACATTTCCAATAACTGTTTTCTTCCATCCCGTTTTTTGAAATGAAAACCCATTTTTTTAATTCCCAAATATAACGAACTTTTGGAAATCTTAGTTTCTGGAGATTCTTCGATAAATTGCCGGAAAATAGTTTCTACTGTGATTTTATCCTTTCGCGCATACATTTTGTAAATTACTTCCCTCAAACAATGTAGGGTATTCTTTGTAATTCGGATTTTGCTCCGGGAAACGCTTGCAGACATATTTCTTCTAAATTCGAAATCTGTAGCTCTGTTTGGTTTTTCAAAGATTATATAATGTGCATTCTGGAACTTTTAGTGCTTCGGATGCTTTTTGAATTGCCTTAAATCGAGATCCTAAATCGTTTTAAAAATAGTTTACTACATTAAGCATAAGTTTTTTGGATTCATCAGAATATCGCATTTTTATATCTTATTTTGCGTTATGACATTAACATGAAACGTAACTTCAAAAACGTGACATCTAACAAATTATTAATAATCGACGTTCATTTTTGTTGGTAATTTTTTGTTTCAACTGATTTATTAATAATAAATAAGGATGGTGTTATTCTAAATGGGTATTAAAAATACTATACATAGTAACAAACGAAATCTCGATTTTTATCTGAAAAAATAAAAAAGTTATAGAGGTGAGCCACTTTCGAGACGCACCCGGTATATGATATCCGCCTGAAACCTGACAATATTCCAAGATCTAAACAAAACCGTGCCTGTTTGTAACAACAATATTTCACAATTTTTCTAAAAAAATTCATGGTATTTTAGATTAAAAAAAATACAGCAGAATATAAATAAGATTACTGATAATAAAGAAAAGCTACAATAATACATTATTGGCACTTAGCACAGCGAAAGCGACTGGCGTGACTCCAAACTAACTCTAAAAACCAACAATAAAAAATAATAACGACCACTATTACAGACGAAATCTATCTAGCCCAAGATGCCTAAATAAACAAAACAACAAAAAAATATTTATAAAACAAAAAAAATACCAACAGCGACTGAAAATGACAATAATATTAAAAATCATATATTTAACGAAAATCCATAGGGGAACAAAAGACAGCCTAAGTCGTTACGTCACTCAAAAGAGGCGGAGCTTAACAACCTTTCCGAACAAGGCGGTAAATACCTCATAATCGAAAAAAAAACGACGTCAAAGAAGACTGAGAAAAGATAATCTTTGGTAATTTTCGCGGGATCAATCTCTAGATGTTATTTAATAAAAATTGACATAAGACTTGTCAAAAAAATTAACACTAATTATAGAAAGTTTTAAAAAGGACAGAACGTTTTTTTCCAGAAAAAATATTTTTTCACGAATTTTAAACTACACCATTTAAAAATCATTTTTACTCAATAGAAAAATAAATTACAATCTTTTTAAGGCCAATTGGCAGTAAGCGCCGTTAAAAAATAAAGAGAGTACTAACAGTAAGTAAATAACATCTAAAATGACGTCTAGGGCTAGACCTCGCCAAAATTATCATCGATTGTCATTCCACAGCCATCTTTGACGCCGTTTTTTTCTCGATCGTATGGTATAACGTGTGCTGCTGAAGAGGATCTCCGAGTTTGATAAAAATAAACGTATTTTAAAAATGATCTATTAATTTTTTGGTAATAAGACACATAATTGGTAATAAAACACAGTGCTGCATTTAAAATAACGAAGTTTTTATGTAAAATAAATCTTTAAAATAGACGAACAATTTTTGATACACCTGTATACATTAAACGAAGCAATCAAATTTCTCAGTAATCTCTGGCTTAAAAGTCAGCACAAGAATTAGTTCTGAAAAGTAATGTACAGGATGCTGACAATATTTTATATTACTGCATGCATAAAAAATATCTTTAAATATCTCAAAAACCAAAGCTTGTAAACATATTTAACCCTTATAATGAATGCCTTATTTTGCGTCCAAGGATCCAAAAATTAAATAAAATATAGCATGTTTTTTTTTAAATGACCCAAAATAAAAACCAATTTTACCAACATTTACGGCTTTGTTCGGAAACGTTTCTAAACACCCGACCACTAACGTGACGTAATCAGACTTCTAGGCACTCTATTCTGGACAAGTTAATAAACAACGTAAACGAAAAAATCCCCAGAAACGATAAACAGACACATTTCCTCATCCACATTATTTTCTCCTACTAGACAGAGAGTACCTACAGAACCACCCAGTCCCTTCTCAAGCCGCCGAATCGTCAATATCCCCTCTCTCCTTCAACTCCACCCTGTTCTGTACCCGGCCCACGAAGTCCGTGCTGGTACTCTCCCGCAACACGCCGGTACTCCAGGTTCGTTGGTGCCCCCAGGCGGTGGTTCTGCGCGTCGTGAACGGGCTGGAGGGTACGGAGACGGGCCCGGAGATTTCTACCGAGTCGTAGTCCGTGGAACTACCGGAACCGTCCAGGAGTAGTCTGGGTAAGTAGGCGACGTACTTGCAGGACTTGAAGGACATCATGAGGCGCTCTTCCAGACGCTGGAAGAGATTTTAGTGTGGGCGTGGTTTTAAGTTAGGAAGCGGTGTGGCGCCAGGCTGGTGAGCTTGATTTGTGTTTGTTAGGTTAGTGAATTTTACAAAGGGTGCAAAAAACGTTATAAATTATAAAAAAAACATTTGTAGAGATTTGAACTGTACAGGGTGGGTCAAAAAACACTTGTAAAGAGAAGCACCCTATTATATAGGAGATAGACAAAAACTAATATCGGTGTCTGGAGCTCCATTTTTATGAAAACCACAGCGGCGGCTGTAATGCAAAAAAATTCTATTTGTGAGCAGCAATTAAAAGAAAATAATATTTGCAATGACAGATACAGAATTTTATAACAATTTAAACTATATTTAACAACATCAACACATTTAAACTATATCAATAACAATAAAAATTAATAACAAACTAAGACACGAGATTTTGCTACAGATGACCGTTTATGAACATTTCTGGCGGAATTCATTAATTCAGTGGGAGTGAAAGATAACCTCGCATAACCGCTAAATACTTCTAATTCAGTCTAGATTATATCTTTATTCTTCCGCAAAGATAAAAATCCATAGGCACTAAGTCCGGCGGCCTCGATGGCCAACGGCTGGGATCTTAGTTAGGTTCAATTATTTTCGAAATATGCTGCAAAAATTTGATAGAATTGATAACTTCAGCGTTCTGAAGCGGTGCTTTGTCTTGCTGGAAAAATATGTTTTCGAGTTCTAAAAGTTTTAGAAATTCTGTATTTCGAAGGAGACTATAACAAAATATCAAATGTGCTATATTTTTGAAAAGGTAGTTTTAAGTTCTTTTCATTTAATTAAAAATATACAGGATGTCTTAAATAAAAAAGCAACTTTTCTGTTGATAACTCAAATTATTAATTTTAAAAAAATTATACTTAATTAAATTCTACGTAAAAAGGTGCTTTAGAAATGTTTTCATAAAAATGCAAAATTGTCCACAGCAAAAAAGTTACAGCGATTTGTTAAAAATGCACATTTTTGAAAAACACCCCGTAACTCCGAAACGGTAACAGATATCGATGTGCGGTTTTCACCATCATGTTTTTGATAAAAATTGAGCTCCAGACACTGATATTAGTTTTCGTCTATCTCCTATAAAAAAGGGTGTTTCCCTTGAAAAGTTGGCTCACCCTGTACAGGTTAAATCTCTGGAAGATATTGTCGCGTGTAGGGCCCTTTTTACATGGATATAAACCTTTTTATTGATAGAAAAACATATTTTTTTAATGTAAGTTTTTCACGTAAATTTTATATAATATAATTTTAAAATTTAGTCAATGTTGTTTATAATGCTGAGAAGTATATATGAAAAATAATGAAAAAAATCGACAAATTACCTGTTTTCTGGGCTTCAACTGCGCTTTCCATTCTTTTAGCTCTACAGTAAATTGCTCTTCCCTCTGTTTCAGCTTCAAAGATTCATGTTCTACAAGCATCTTCTTTTTCTCACTCTGTAGCTGTTCCAGTTCTTTTATAGTGGCCTCGCTCATCGCCCTGTATATATCCAGAAAAATAAAACAGTTAGAAAAAGTCTACAAGAACTAGTTAATCTTGTATTAATAGATACAATTAACCAAAAAAAATACCATTAAACTCAAAAATTTTAACAAAGAAATATTTTGAGAAACGTTTAATTTGTTTTCGCTAATTTTAGAAATAATTAAATAAATAAAATAATATTATCTATGTTTTTTATTACCTGAGTTCTTCCAGCTGTCGTTTATGCTTGAGTTCAAACCTCTGTTGTTCAGCCTGGTAACGTTTCTTTTCCTTTTCTTGAAACTGTAATAAAACAGTGGTAAAGTTGTCAAATTACCAATATTTATGGTCAAAAAATATTATATGGCGTAAAAAGTTAGAAAAGCATTATTTTAAATGCTTTTCTAACTTTTTACGCTCTAACAATACACTAGACTATCTGTGGTACAAAAATATGAATTAAATTTACCTCTAGAGCTGTTTTAAATTTAGGTTTTAAACTGTAATAACACAGTGGTTTAGTTTTCAAATTATCAATGTTTCTGGTCAAAAAAAATCACTATTTTACCTCTTTAACTGTTAAAACTGTATTAACACAGTGGTTTGCTACTGAAATTTAAGTTAACTTCTTAACCCTTAAAACTTTAACAACGCAGTGGTTTAATTAGAAAAGTTTACGGCCAAAAAAAATTAAAGCATCTCTTTAAAACTTGAAGAAGTAATAATACAGTGGTCAAGTTCCAAAATTATAAATATTTACGGCCAAAAAAATTAACCATTAAAATGTCCTTTAAACTATTAAAACTGCAATTAATATTACAGTGGTTTAGGTCACAGACTAACAATATTTATGACAAAAACAATATTAAGTTATCCAATAAATTCCATATTTGACTCTTGAAACTAACAATACAGTGGTTTAGTTTTCATATTAACATTAACATTTATAATCCAAAACATATCAAATAAATTTCCTGTTGATCTGTAATAATACAGTGGTTTAGTTCTCAAGTAATTAATATTTATGGTCAAAAAGATATACAAAAAATCACCTCTTAATTTTTGAAACTGTAATAATACAGTGGTCAAGATAAATTATCAATGTTTATGTTCAAAAATATATTAATTAAATCATCCTTATTCGAGTACTTATTAACTCTTCACGATGTAATAATACAGTGGTTTAGTTCTTATATAATAATGGCAAAAAAATGTTAAATTAAGTTAACTTTTCAATATTTAACAATACAGTGGTTTCGATTGCAATTTATGCAAGTTTACGGCCAAAAAAATTACCTCTTTGAATTTGTTTTTCTCCAATTCCGGATCGCTAGACGCTCCCATTACGGATATCCTCATGGATTCTCTAAACATGGCTTCTCTGGCCTTCATTTCGCTCCTTATCCTCTTGGGAAGATTCCGTTTTTCAGTTTGTTGCTTCTTCAATAATTCTTCTTCCTTTCTCAGAGCTCGCCGTTTGATTTGGTCCTGTTCTTTTTCGTGACGCGTCAACATTTGATGCCTAAAATTAAAAAAAAAAGATAAAAAAATATTAATAAAGAAATAAAAAAATATTAATAAAAAAAATAAAAAAATATTAATAAAAAAATAAAAATAAAAAATTACCTCTGTAAAATAAAGATATCTTTGATCTGACGCTTCATTAGTTGATGTTTCTCGTGGATATGGCGTTCTTCTATCTCCCATAATGCTGCCTCTCTCGTCCTATATAACAAAAAATAAAAAAATAATGATATAAATAAAAAAAATAAATAAAAAATCTTTACCTGGTTAGCTGCTGTTTCTGCTGCAAGAACTGCCTCTCCATCAAAGCCAGCTTTTCCCTATGAGAGTCGCTCAATCTCCTCAAAGAACTCTCATGGTTCTCATTGAGCCTCTCCAAAAATGTCCTCTCCCTTTCGGCGTGTTCTGCGTCCATTTTTTCTTTGCGCACTTTAAATTCCAGCTTGCGCTTGTCCTTGGCCATCATATCCACTTCAGCCTAACAAAGAAACAAAATAAAACAACACGAAACACAAAAGAAAAAAAAAGAAAAATTAAAAGAAAAAATTCAAAATAAACGAAACACAAAAGAAAATAAAAAAATAGAAAAAAAAGACAAAAATAAAAAATAAAAATAAGATAAAAAAAATGTTTAAGAGGTTGGTAGAGTTAGTAATGTACCTTGAGAAGCCTCAATTCTTGTTTCAAACCATCTCTGAACAATTTTAACTCGCGTTCTTGTTCGCCTCTTATTTTCTTCGATGTGGCTCTTAAATCGGCGTCCTGGTGAGCTTCGGCTCTTTCTATTTGTAATCTACAAGAAAAATAAAATATTTGACTTAAGATTAACACTATACAGGGTCCGGCAATAATATATATATATTTCGATAGTTTCAGAGATATTAATAAATAAATAAAAAATATGTATTTTTTAACATTTCTTTAAAAAATATTAAAAATACAAGTACCTGTCTTGAAATCAAAACTATAGGTATTTATTTATTTATATTAGGTATTTACTTTGGATGGTCTGTACTTATTTTGCTATAAATATGGTAATCGTAAATCATACAAGATGTTCAAAATTCTACACCAAACTTTCTAAAATATAAAATAATTTTTCTTCATTTTTTTAAATGGAACACAATACTCTACCTATACACTTTGTTTTTGTGACATTTTTACTGGGGAAGAACGAGATAATTGGGCATCTTGAAAAAGGTAGGAATGGAGAATGTAACCTAGATATCAGAAGAGGACCACAATAAGATCGCAATGGAACAGACCTATAGCCATCTCAAGAAATATAATCTATATTAACACAGGAATAAAGAGATACAAACTAACCTTTGTTGCCTACTGAGCAAATCCAAATCATTTTCATACGTCCTTTCCAGATTAAGCTTCTCCTGCTCAAACTTTCTCTCCTGCTGTTCCAGAGCAAGATTCTCTTTAGCGGCCAAGTCCTGGAACTGTTTCTGCTCCTGTTTCTGTAAGTACTTCAGTTCCCTAGAAGAAAAAAAATGTTGATAATTTTTTATCGTCAAAAACATCCCTAATACAAACCTTAGTTCTTGTTTCCTGTCATTATGCGGATCCCACTGAGGATTATCTTCATCTCCGTATATAACCTTGCTCGTTGTGGTCGTGATCATGACGCCATCTATGATAAATTTCCTGGTACGTTTTCTAGTCTTTCTGTTCATCATGGCGATGGTTTGAGCTTGAGTTTTCGGCGGCTTGCGGAGAATGACAGCTTGGTCTTCGTTCTCATCGTCGTTCTTTACTGTAATTAATTAAGATTAAATACATATTAAAATACATACATAGGTGCCCGGTGGCGTAGAGGTACAGGCTCTCGTCTACCAATCTCAAGGTGTGGGTTCGATTCCCACACCCGGCATTTCATCAGCCGACTATTTTTATTAAAATAAAAATAGTTTGGGTACCTAGGTCGACTCAGCCTTAAACGAGTACTTGGGATTCACAATCCTGAGGTAATAATAGGCGGTTGAAGCGTAGTGCTAGCCACATTAGTTAGTTTATTACATTGGTTAGTCTTGGGTGAAGATTTCCGTATGTAAGAAGAGTACAATATGTTTATAATGTACTGAAGTAGAAGATAAATGAGTGAGGAAAACGAGTGAAGGAAATAGAAGAGGAAAGCACCTTCGAATTTGTGTAACAAAGAAATCCAAAATGTTAATAAAATAACAAAGACAAACATTGAAAACTTACCAGAAGAGCATAAGCAAAATAGAAGAGTGAGGGAAATAGAAAAGCAAAATAAAGATAGATAATGTAACACAAGGAAACTGTAGAGAGAAACAAGCCCTATAACATAGGATACATTTTAATGAACAGTGCTTTCCATAAAATCAATAAAATGAAAAATATACGAAATAAAATAAATGTACCGATTTCTTTCGAAAATCGACATCTATGAAAATATGAACCCTTCCTGGACACAAACGGTACATTGTGAGACAGGAAATTGTAGAAAGAAACAAGCCCTATAACATAGGATACAACATTTTAATGAACAGTGCTTTCCATAAAATCAATAAAATGAAAAATATACGAAATAAAATAAATGTACTGATTTCTCTCGAAAATCGACAACAATGAAAATATGAACCCTTCTTGGACACAAACGGTACATTGTGAGACAGGAAATTGTAGAGAGAAACAAGCCCTATAACATAGGATACAACACTTTAATGAACAGTGCTTTCCATAAAATCAATAAAATGAAAAATATACTAAATAATATACATGTTCTGATTTCTTTCGAAAATCAACATCTATGAAACTATGAACCCTTCCTGGACACAAACGGTACATTGTGGGACAGGAAATTGTAGAGAGAAACAGGTCCTATAACATAGGATACAACATTTTAATGAACAGTGCTTTCCATAAAATCAATAAAATGAAAAATATACGAAATAAAATAAATGTACCGATTTCTTTCGAAAATCGACATCTAAGAAAATATGAACCCTTCCTGGACACAAACGGTACATTGTGAGACAGGAAATTGTAGAGAGAAACAAGCCCTATAACATAGGATACAACATTTTAATGAACAGTGCTTTCCATAAAATAAATTAAAAAATATACGAAATAATATACATGTTCTGATTTCTTTCGAAAATCGACATCTATGAAACTATGAACCCTTCCTGGACACAAACGGTAAGGTGAGACAGGAAATTGTAGAGAGAAACAAGCCCTATAACATAGGATACAACATTTTAATGAACAGTGCTTTCCATAAAATCAATAAAATGAAAAGTATACGAAATAAAATAAATGTACTGATTTCTTTCGAAAATCGACAACTATGAAAATATGAACCCTTCCTGGACACAAACGGTACATTGTGAGACAGAAAATTTGTAGAGAGAAACAAGCCCTATAACATAGGATACAACATTTTAATGAACAGTGCTTTCCATAAAATCAATAAAATGAAAAATCTATACTAATATATAAAATCCTTAAGTGACTGACATACTGATTAATCACGATCCTGCTCAAACCACTCAACGTAAGAAGCTCAATTTTGGCATACAGGTTGATTCTAGGGTGTAGAGGTTCGATAAGAAGGGATTTTTCGAAATTCCAGTTCCAAGAGGGTGAAACCGTCCCTTAAATATTGCAATATTTTTTATTCAAAAAACGGTCAAGTTTCCGAAAAAACGCTTAAACACGTATATTTTATTTTGTTTTTTTAGATATTTTAAGATTTTTAAAAATGTATACAGGGTGTTTCGAAAAATCTGGTCATTGATTAATCACGATCCTGCTTAAAGCCCTAAAGCAAAAGATAGATAATGTAACACTTTTCAAAATTTAAAAACTCTCACCTGAATCTTTTCCGTTGCTGCCTCTGCTCTCATGACTGGCGATTGAAATGCTTTCAATGTCAGACTTGCTGACTGATACTGGCGGTCTCTGATGGGAATCTGTGCTTCTCACCGAGCCACAATCGCTGTGAGACCTGTCGCTGGTGGCTGATTCGTAGTTATCGTTGTATATTTTACCGTTGAGGGCATTTCTATCGTTGTTGTGAGCGTGGATGATCCTACCGTTCATCTTAAAGTTATCCAAGATAATTGAAGTACCTGGAATAGATATATAATAAGCGGGATATTCCTCTATTTTTACCTATTTCTCTTAAGCTTTCACATAAATGTCACATTTACACGACTGTTTTATTCATTGTGAACAAATATAAAAGTATTATTTATTATTTTTGTAACAAAAAAAACTACAATTGAAAAAATATTTATTACAAGAAACAATTTTAAAGACAGATAATTTACGTTAAATTAAAAAAATACCATTCTAGCTTTTATTAATCAGAAATTATAAAAAGTAGTTCAAATGACCTGCCACATTTTCTCATATATCCCCTTTAATCATTGCTGAAAGTAATGTGTATATGTTGGTAATTATAAATAAAATTAAAATAAATAATTAAACTAACTCCACAGGACAGTCTTCAAAAAATATACAGTATATGACAAAAAGCACGCAATGAAAGAGAAAAAGTTCTGTATATTTATAAAAATGGTATACCGGGTGCGTCTCAAAAGTGGCCCACCCCTATAACTTTTTTATTTTTCCAGATAAAAATTCGAGATTTGGTATATTAATATATGACATAAATTAGGATTGATTGACGTATTCAATTGTTTTCTGTCACTTCCTGTTTCACCGGAAATGACTACGACTTTTGATTTTTAAATGGTACCCTCGGTGTTTGGTTGCTTTATTCGATAGAAAATGACACTCCGAACAGAATGACATATCATATGTCAACTTTTGACATTTTCAAATATGGTTTATTTGTTGTGACATGCGATTCATAACGACAATTTCACTGGAAATACCAAGTGTGTGGTACCAAATTATTCGTAAAAAATGCTTTTTTCAAAAATGGTAATGAGCCACCCTCTTTCCATTTGAAAAAAATGGGATATCATTAAAAATACGATTTGGTCATCTTTTAACCGGCCTGGACAAAACACGAATAACATTAGACGATCAAATGTATTTTTCCAAGGCGCCTTGATTAAAAATTAGTGTTTTTGAACACAATTTTCTCTAGATTGAAATTTAAAATTCAATTTTGTTTTAAGCTAAAATGTCAAAAGTTGACATATGATATGTCATTTTCTTTAGAATGTCATTTTCTCTGGAATAAAGTAAAAAAATACCAAGGGTGCCATTTAAAAATCAAAAGTTGTAGTCATTTCCGGTAAAACAGTAAATGACAGAAAACAATTGAATACGTCAATCAATCCTAATTTATGTCATATACTAACACACCAAATCTCGTTTTTTTATCTGATAAAATAAAAAAGTTATAGGGGTGCAGTGGCGGATACAGAGGGGGGACCCATGGGGCCAAGGCCCCCCCTAAAATCTGTAAATTGGGCTATATATTAGGCTTTTGGGTTAAAAATGGCGCTCTGAAAAGCATATTCTACATTATTTTTATTTGGCCCCCCCCCCTAAAATAAATTCCTGTATCCGCCACTGTAGGGGTGAGCCACTTTTGAGACGCACCCGGTATAGGTATATAGATATAAAATAATGTTCTAAACAAGTTTTTAATTTTTACACATACCTATATTTTGTCATATAACACCACTTTTTACTCGATTAGAGAGCATCCTTTGAAAATTGTCTTAAAATTTTGAAATAAACTAAATCCACCATAAGAAAACTATAATTTTTTGTAATAAGCATATTTAAAACCGATAATTTACGATGAATTTTCAAAAAATAGCCATTCTAGATTTTCAAAACAGAAATTATAAAAAGTAGTTCAAATGACCCACTACATTTATTGTATTTTTAAGCATTTTGAGAAATTAATATGTATATACTAATAAAATAAATAAAATTACAAAAATAATTAAAAAACTCTACAAAGCAGTTTACGAAAAAAATACAAAGACCAAAAATTAGGAGATCTAAAGAAAATCTTTAAAAAAATAATTTTTGTAAAATTTTGTTAAAATAAAAATAGTAAAATAGTAGTACCTCTTGTATCGTCTCCGTAGTCGCTCTTAGTACTGCCCGATTTCCCGGAACTGGCATTTGACAGATCGCTGGTCGAACTTCTGAAAGTGTCACCCGATTTATCTATGATATAAGACGTAGAATCCTAAAAAAAATAAAAAAAATATGTAAAACCCCCAATTTTACTTCAAAATAAAACAAATAGGTACCTTAACTTGTACTTTTTCTTCGTCAATTTTGACAACTGACACATGACTGGTGTCTAAAAGCCTTGAATTGTCGGAAACATCCAGTCCAGAGTCATTGATGACGTAACTGGAATCTGTTATTAATACCTGTAATGACATAACATAAAATATATTAGTATAATATAGAAATATGTATAATTCTGTCAATATATAATGTAGAAACGATCACACTCTGCTAAAGTAACAATTTCTGAAGTTTGTTCCTAAGATCTTACAGTAATTTAATTCGTGACACAAGATTTTTCCAGATTTGAGCATTTTGCATAAAACCAATCGTGAAATAAACAAGTAACAATAAAAAATAAACTACTCAAAGAAAAAAAACAAAAAAAAAAGAAAGAAAATATATAAAAAAAGAGAAAAAAAATAATAGCGACACAAGAAAAATTGTAGACAAAATCACTGCTAAAAAATAAACTCAGAAAGGCACAACTCAATCGAAGAAAAAAAAAAGAAAGAAAAGAAAGTATAAAAATAAAAAGATAAAAAAAGAAATAAACTCAGAAAGGCACCACTCAATTGACAAACAAAAGGAAAATATAAAAATAAAAAACAAGAGAAAAAAAAAGAAATCAAAACCAAAATACAAATTCTGGCGACTCAAGAAGATCGAGACAAAACCGCTGGTTTCGAAATACAATTTAATAAAACACATAATTAAAACACTTAAAACAGATAAAATATTAGGTCTTACCTCGCTTTCATCGAGTTTTTTGCCTTTGGAACTCAGCACCGGCGGCTTATCTCTGAACTCACTAGGAGGGGGGTACTCCAGCGAGTCCAAGGACGGACAGAACTCATCGTCCGAAGACTCGACGTGAGTTTTGTTCGTTTCGTTGGCCACTATGACGACTTCGCTCGAACTGTGATTAGATGGAGAAGTCGAAGAAGTCCGCGATATGGTCATGGAATTATCTATTATAACTGGAGGATGGGTAGTTACCACGGTTACCTAGGAAAAAAGTTTTGATATTGCCAAAAATAACATTTTTAACAAGTTTTTATCGTACCTGGCTAATATTTGAAGCTAAACTATTGGACGGATCAGGTAAATCGGAATTAATAGTTATAGTAGACGTATTTTTGCTCCTTTCAGACTGTGGAGTGGAAACTACAACGAAGCTCATGCTGTCTTCTGGAGTAGTACCACTAAAAAACAAGAAAAAAAAAGAAAAAATTAAAAAATAAAAAAAAATAAAAAAAACAAAAAATAAAAAAAAATTAAAAAAGTATTTTAAGAAAACTTACGTCGAGCTGTTGACTGTAACAATATTATCACCTACACTGTGCATAGGTTTTTCCTGAGATAAGCGTTTTCCTAACTGATTTTCCAAAGCCCTCTTGACCTGGGCTATGTTAGATGACCTGTTAGCGTCTTCGGGATGATCTCTAGTTTCATCTTTAACTGGCACTAAACAAGTCACAGTATAAATCATCAAAAAATGAGCATGAATTCATTTCATTTTATTTTGTTTATTTATTTTTTTTCATTAGTCTTATTACTAACAAGAATATCATTAATCAGCTTGTTTTGAGTACAATTCAGATACATTTTTCGACTTGTATACAGATAAAGTAATGTTATACAGGGTGTGTCAGAAGGTTCGCGAACAACTGGGATTTTTTTATAATTTAATTACCGAAGAAAAGTATTGAAATTTTTTTCCAGAGTATCCAATAACAAAATTAGATACTTTGGTAACTTTTTGGTGTCTTGTCTTTTTACAGTTATTTATTACAGAACAACAACGAAAAATATTGTATTATGAATTATTCTTGTTCGATTCACACTGTATAATGTAATTTCACCAAAAAAATCCCTGTATATTTTAAAACGTTTTTATTTTGCCACCTAACCTCACTTTTTGCATAATGATCGAGAATCTTTGTAATCTGCCCACATGACAGTTATTTGCCATTACATATTATATCATGATAGCAAAAAAATATTTATTTTTATATTATGCATGCTGAAGAAATTCCACAAACACTTTTTTTTAAAACGTTATATTTTTTCCCATTCGTTACGAACTTTTTTACACACCCTGTACATATAGTAACTACCTTTTCTTTAAAAGTCAATTAAAAATGCCCGAAACTACTTAAAGCTATAATTTCTATCAAGGCTCTAAGCTTTCACAGCCTAGCTATTACTGCTTCTAATAAGCTGCAAATAGTTACCAGTTCAGATATTACAGATTACACAGGGTGATATAATAATAGAGCACATTAGACCACCCTGTACAGAGTTCTACAATTAAATCAAACCCAACTATTTTTTTCATATTCAGCCTATTGAAAACTTTGGTCAAACTTAGTCTCAAACTGACTTAGAACGAGAAAAAATGCTGAATATAAAACAGCTTAAAATTCTAAAAAAATAATTATCCTACTCACAACAAACATATCCATCAAAAAAACACAAAGAAAAATAAGAAATTATTAAAGCAATAGATTGCTAAAAACACCCAATTAATCTCTTCTTATATAAAACTTTAAAAAGAGGTGAAAAACTATGTAACAAACTACCCATTATTTTTACCAAAGAACCTTCCCTTTAAACCTTTTTGTCCAATTTTTATAACACTCTGTATAATAAACAAGTCGTAAAATATTATGTCATAATCAGGACATTACTTAAAAAACAAACACCAAATCAATCAATACAAATATTAAATCACACCCACCTGGCGGTAAAGGAATATCTGCCACCCTGATAGGAACTCTCTGCTCGGGAGGGGTGTCAGGGGGCGTGACAGGCGACGCGGGAGGCGTGGGCAACGTCACCGAGTTCAATGGAAGAACAGGAGCAGGCGGTATAGGCGCTCTTCCCTCCTCTTGCGCCGCCTGATGAACGGGCACGGCCAGAGGCTGCGAGGAGGACGGTCCAGGCTTCTTCTCGCTCGGAGGTACTTCCATAGGTGGAGGAGGTACCACAGTGGGTGGAGGAGGCGGAGCCGGACCTTTTTCTTTCTCCGTCGAGGTCTGCGATTGGAAAGGTGGCGGAGGGGCTGGACCTTTCTCGTGGGAGGATCGGCGGTGGGCGTCTTCTTTCTTGTCCGCTGAAGGCTGTAAAAGTTTTTTTAAGCATATAAAAGAATTCACTATATCTATGGTAATCGCAAAACAATTTCCGATGCACGTGATTAACTTTGAGTGACAAGCGATGGCGACAGCGCTGCCAGATTCTGATGGATTTATGAGATGAATCTTAATTTAAAATTGACAAACAATATATTTATAATATCATTTTTTAAAGAGTTTTACGTTTTATTTTTAATTTAATAACTATTATTTTAATAATTAATTGATTTATTTGTTTTGTTGCTTATTTTACTTATTACATATTAGAAAAAACTAGTCCATTATGAATATTATTTAATGTGCTTATCAATCAAACTTACTTCTCTGACTGCAGTCAAGGGTAATAAATAACCTTTATATTTCATTAATTTACACTAAATCTGTAAGAATTTTGTTCATTTCATATATATTTGAGCGGGCCGAAAAACGCTCTTTACCATCTTAGGACGGGAGATGAACTAATATCTCACCGACACTTTACGACATCGTCTGTTGATATTGAAAAAGTTTTGCTTGCCGTATTAGTGAGAACCAGCCCCTGGACAGCCCACCTGATGAAGGGTAGGCCCAGAAACCGGTTGTGGGAGAGAGAGCTTGGTTCAACAAGCAAAACAATTTTCTTTTTACTTTTTTTTCTCTACTTTCGATTTTTCGAAATTAGAAAAAATACACAGCTAAAGGCAAGAAAATATTATTAATTAAATAACCTTTATTGTCATGTTCTCGTTCAAAATAGTTTATCAGGGAAGTTACAAACTCTTTGCTTCGACTGTTTAAATGCTTCGGCATATCTTCAACACACAATTTCAAGAAATGCAATACAAAAACTCGAAAATTTAGTTCTTAAAAGAACTGTTTGTGCTTAAAAGTACAATTAAAAAAAAAAGACTACGAAAATAGGCAAACAAACGAGAATTACTAACAAAGATTCAACATCAACACGATATTATACAAAATAATAACTGATATTAGGATAACTGTCAAATAATAAACGACAACGTTGCTGAATACGGCACAATGTGACCAACATAGCGATAATAAAATTCGGTTTAAACTAACTTTTGCAGCTTTAATCTAAATAAAATATCTGTTACAATCACTTTCTCTACAAAGTAAAACGAAGAGCTGCTCGGTATCTTAAATTATACAACAAATTTAAACATTTTTGCCAAAATTTCATTTAGTCAGGTTTATAGACTTTAATGTCCATGTCGATATAATTATTGATGACGTGCATCGGAAAAAGTTTTGCGATTACAATAGGTAGACGATTCCAACGACAAATGTGATAAAAACTTACTGTTTTCTTTTCTGTAGGTATAGAAGCAGGTACAGCGACTTTCTTATCATCTTTTTCTCCAGTCGGTACAAGGGATTCTGAAAATAATACTTTAATTTAAAGTATACAGAAAAAAAAATAGTTAGAACCATACCTTTATGTTCTGTATCATTGCTCTGCACCGATGCAGCATCCTCCTCTATGTCCAAAGGCACTTGAGATATTCGGTTGTCCTACAAAAGAAATAGTTCGTTAAATAAAAAAATCAACGCTGAACGATATAGTTTAAATAAAAATAAAGCATTGCAAAACAGGATTGAGGTTGAGAAGAATTACACAAATACATAATGGACAAAATACTGGATTACCAAGTATAAGAAAACTCAACATTTACCACGTATAGATTTACTATTATAAAATATAATAGGTCTAAAAAATAATGGGAATATCCGTAAAGAATCCTTAAATTCACTGTAAATATTGGTTTTTGGAACTTTTAAATAGCTTTTATTGAGTTTAACTATAGTTAAACTCAATAAATTATGAGTAAATGGATGAGTTTTTTTTTATGTCTAATCCAATGTGGGACACAACACTTAACACTAAAAGGCACCTTACCTGTTTAGGGACAATAGACAGTGCGGGTGGCCCCAACGAGCAGCATGCATTTTAGAAAAAAAGCAGTGATAACACCAACTTGAGGACATTGTTTCGTACGTACATGGTTTGACAACAACACAATACTTATTAACAGGGATACATACACGTTTACTGTAGTAAGTAATACTACTATAGTAAGGTAAAAAGACAAACTTTGTAAAAACACAAGTGAATTTTAGGTTAATAGGTTTAAAATAGTAGAGTTTGAGGTCCATAGGTAGGTTAATATATTACATTATGTATTGACTATTGAGTTCTGGCTTTTTTTATAAGTGTAGAAGAAAAAGTAGTGAGAATACAGAATAAAAATATCAAATTTAATCATAATATACAGCTTGGTTAGCTAAAAATAAGAACAGTTCTGAATAAAAAAAAAATAGTTAGAGTTATGTTTCACTTGGTACATTTGAATTTGAATACAACTTTTGCGGATTTGTTAGGTCCCCTAACTTTAATTTACGTTCTTTATTTATTATTTTATAATTGATTTTATGCAATATTATTCTTCAAATGAAGCACCGTCTACTTTACCATCATCAAACAATAGCTATTGTAAATACTTTAAAAGTAATAATTATATTATTTTTCTTGATATTCATTAAGTTTTCTTTCTGTGACATGAAACTTACCAATTCTCTGATAATGTCCCTTATTTTTACGGGGTCTCCTCTGACGCTAAGCATGAAAATATTTACAAGACACACATTATTTCAGTGTAAACAAGCCCTAAGCGTATAAAGCGGTATATTTGCACACCAGGTTAATTTGCTTTAACCTGTTCTGTGGCCTTATCTCGCCATAAAACAAAAGCAGTTTTCGTGGTTCACTGTATATGAAAACTTAAATACAATAAGGTATTTGAAGAAAGAAAAAAATAAAAGTACTTATTTTTTAATTCTACAGAATGTCCCCGGATTGTCTTTAAAAGAGAAAAAACCTTTTTTTTTCAAACGTCATAAAAGTATTCACTTTTGCGACGTGATTGGCAATATAAAAAACTAATTTTAACGCCTAGACGTAAGACATAAAGTGTCAAATTCAACGAGTGTAACCATAGTTTCTCGATATATAATTACTTACAAGGTATTACTTTGAAATCTTTTTGGATTATTTGGAATACTTGAAATTGTTTAAAAAATTATTTGTGAATGTTTGAAATAAAAAATAGCATGTCCTATTCGGAGTAAAAATTAATTTTTATGTCTCACCACAAACAGTATCATTTTTACTCCTAATATACTATTATTATTAACTTTTTAGAAAAATACATTCCTCATAAAACTCCTTTGTGACAGACGGACGGACGGACAGCGAAGAATTAGTAATAGGGGTACGGAACCCTAAAAATGAAGCTTTTTTCCAGAAAAAAACTAGGCCACCCTGTATAAATTAACTAATTCAAAAACATAATATATCAACAAAGAGGTATTTTAATGAGTAAAGAATTGTTTTTAGAAAAAAAAACTTACAAACTTAACAAAACTTACAACAAATCTACAATTATTCCTTACCTCAGGATCATCATCTGTCAACTCCTCTTCAACCACTTCAGCCTTGTACTCGAGCAACAGATCGGTGACAGGCTTCGAGTCCAAAGTTCGGTTGATGAAGGGATGCTTCAACAATTCATCACACGTCGGCCTTTTCTGGGGATCTTTGATCAACGCCCTGGCTATAAAATCGTTGAAATCCTTTGACCACTTTGACGGCTGTTCCAGTCTTGGAGGATCGCTTTTCTGGATCTTCAACAGTACCCTCATTGGTGACATTTCATGGTTTGGAGGTTCCATTTGGGCGAACTCAATCAACGTGATGCCCATGGACCATATATCAACCTGTATAAAGAAATAAAGTTGATTTTTAATAGGCTTAGAAAAATAAATAAACCTAACAGCACAAGATGAAATCCGAAAGGCACATAATTTTTATTTTACAAAACTGCAATTCTTTGTCTTCTTGTTGTTGTTTGTAAAAATTGAATTAATAATATAATTTTTTTAATAAATCCGAATATTTCAGTATAATGTACAAGGTATATCAGTATGAATGTACAAGGCGAGTCAACAATAGAGTAAAGTTTATTATGTCATTTATATCGAAACTATGAAATATGACATACTAATTAAACGTTGCTGTCAATCCCCATTTCTTCAGATATTTTTGTGTATTTTATGGGGTTTCTGGTTTATGAGTAGAGATATAAAGATGCTGTTTTCACATCATTGTGCTACTTATTATGAAACTAAATATGCTACACACAGATTTAATCTAGTCTTCTTAGTTCAAATGTATTTCTTGTTCTTTTATACTTTTTATTTTTTAATTAGTAGAAATTTTTGCATTTTTCGATAACCTTTGTATCTCCATTATCTTATAACTTATTGAAAAGGTGAAAAGGGTTAGTGATGGGCGGTGGGTAAATACCCAATTTGTAGATAAATAAAATCTGGGTTTTAATTTTATAAAAGGAGTTTCCGACGACGGCATAGTAAATGCCCGGTATAATACCGGAAATAGGAAAATTTATTGAAACTATTTTCTTCTTCCAGTGGCAAAAGAACGAGAATTATTTTCAAGAAATGTAACTTTTAGCTTCATCTACTATTAAGACATATTAAAAATTAAACTAAAATGTTATTTCTGTGTCTTGTTAACTTGTCTAGTTGACTTAAAATAAAAATACTCACCTTGAAGTCATAAGGATTGTCCCTGAAGGTTTCACAAAGCACTACTTCTGGAGCCATCCAGTATGGTGTTCCTATGAATGTATCGTGTTTTTGAAGGGTGGACTTGTTTTTGGCTGACACCCCAAAGTCAGCTGTAATATAAGAATAAAAAATAGTAAATTTGAAGCTTCTTAAAAAAAATATAAACTATTTTTTATTTATCAGTACAGTTTCTTCAAATTCTTCGTCACATTATCTTTAATTTTTGTTTAAAGCTGGTTATTATTACACTATTTTTATTAAGTTCATGTTATATTAGTTCTCCAGTAAATAATATGTAAATATATTACTTAAACACATAATAAAGCACAAGGTATATAACTAATCTTTTATTTATTTATTTCACCCCTTCTCGGGGGGTGAAATAAATTATTTTTTCTAAATTTCTGAGAAACGGTAAGGACTAGAAAAAAAGTTCAAATAAAAGTTGTAGAGCATCCAATTTTACATAAAAATGGTCTCTGTACTTTTTTTGCTCAAAACCAAAATTAACCGAGATAGGGTGGCTAGAAGCTAGAGGACAGCTTTTATTGAAACATTTATTTCAAAGTCCTTGGGAGGGGGTTAAAAATTTAAAAAAGTCGTAACTCCAAAATTACAGTAGCTAGCGAAACCTTAGCGAAACGCGGTTTTCAATTTAAGATTAGGAATAATATTTGCAACAAAATTTGTAATAACACCAAAATCAGTCAAGTCGCAGTTTTTGAGATAAAAAAAAATTGGAAAAATTCCTTTACTTTGAAACTAAAAGAACTGCCTACCAATTTTTTATTAACATATTTTAGTATGGGTTATACGTGCCTCCCAGCGCCATTTTTTTTTCATTTAGTGCATATATTTATTGCTGAAGCAATAAACAGCGGTTAAAATGTGATAACCGACGTTCAAAGTAATGAGCCTTAAAATACTATTTCTATTTTCCTAATCTAGAGTTTATCTAGACAAAGAAAAAATATTCGTGTAATCTACAGAACAGTTCTAAAAGTTCCGTATTCTGAAATTTAACTTTTTTACTTTTTTAAAACCTAACTAAATCAGAGGAAGAAGATGAAAAGCGTAACTTCCTATTAGACAATAACTGACGTCATTAAGAAATTATTAAAAGAATGTTTTCTCGAGTCTGATATCTCCAAAAATACTCTATTTAAGTCATCTAAATTCCGTTGAACCCTTTGCCTCCAATTTTAGCCCAAAAGACACACCGAAAAACTCCTTTTTTCTTCTTTTATTCCTCGTCTAACGGTACAGATGCGACACAAATAAAAATAAAATCCAACCTAAGTGGTGATTCACGGAGATTTAAAAGGTTTAAAACGCCGCGAGCTGGCTCGTGATGTCATCGGCTTATATATTTTAATTTTTCCTCGATTTTCAAACGGCTATTCCGGTTTTTATTACATCGAACAGGATTTGGATTCGTTGGTGTTTGTTTTTGAATGAAATCCAGTGACGCTCGTTCATAAATTTGAATTATTTTTGAGTGCACATACTGAAAAAACACATTGCGGGAAATATGAAAAATAAATCAGATATTGGATGGATTTGAAAAAACTTACACGTGTGGTGTTCAAATAAAGGTCTTCTTTACCACTCTTTTTCTGTTTTTATGTATGGTCAAATTGAAATGTAAATTAAAAAAACGTCTTATTTAAATTTTTCTTGTATATGTTGGGTCAATGGGGCACTATACAGTAGAAGTGGTCAATGACTGAACGAATGGTTCATTTGAACGAGTATTAAAAATAAATCGTGAGATTCGATTCACCGCTTAGAATACGATTCGTTCAATTGAATCGATCACTGTATTGTTCAATTCGTAAGGATTGAATCGGATCGCATTTCGACTCGTTCATTTCTACGGCTTGTTTGTTCAAATAATCTTGAGAATTGATTCATTGCTAAGAATACGATTCGTTCAATTGAATCGTGGCCAGCACGGATCCATAAAATTTGAACGAACGAGTTATAAGAATTGAATCGGATCACAATGCGACTCGTTCATTTCTACGGCTCATACGTTCAAAGAATCGTGTGAGAATTGATTCATTGCTTAGAATAGATTCGTTCAATTGAATCGTGGCCAGCACGTATCCATAAAATTTGAACGAACGAGTCAAATGAATTGAACCGGATCACAATGCGACTCGTTCATTTCTACAAATCATTCGTTCAAAGAATCGTGATAATTGATTCATTGTTTACATTATGATTCGTTCAATTGAATCGTGACCAGCACGGATGCATAAAATTTGAACAAACGAGTCGTAAGAATTAAATCGGATCACAATGCGACTCGTTCGTTAAAAAAATCGTGAGAATTGATTCATTGCTTACAATATGATTCGTTCAATTGACTCATGGCCAGCACGTATTCATAAAATTTGAACGAACGAGTCAAATGAATTGAATCGGATCACAATGCGACTCGTTCATTTCTACAATTCATTTGTTCAAAGAATCGTAAAAATTGATTCATTGCTTACAATATGATTCGTTCAATTGAATCGTGGCCAGCACGGGTCCATAAAATTTATACGAACGAGTCGAACGAATTGAAACGTATCACAATACGACTCGTTCGTTTCTACAGCTCTTTGGTTCAAAGAATCGTGATAAATCATTCATTGTTTACAATATGATTCGTTCAAGTGAATCGTGGCCAGCAAAAATCCACAAAATTTGAACGAAACAATCGTACGAATTGAATCGGATCACAATGCGACTTTCGTTTCTACGACTCGTTCGTTAAAAAAATCGTGAGAATTGATTCATTGCTTACAATATGATTCGTTCAATTGAATCGTGACCAGCACGGATCCATAAAATTTAAATGAACGAATCGTAAGAATTGCATCGGATCACAATGCGATTCGTTCATTAAAAAAATCGTGAGAATTGATTCATTGCTTACAATACGATTCGTTCAATTGAATCGTGGCCAGCACGGATCCATAAAATTTGAACGAACGAGTTGTAAGAATTGAATCGGATCACAATACGACTCGTTCATTTCTACGACTCGTTCGTTAAAAGAATCGTGAGAATTGATTCATTTACGATTCGTTCAATTGAATCGTGGCCAGCACGGATCCATAAAATTTGAACGAACGAGTTGTAAGAATTGAATCGAATCACAATGCGACTCGTTCGTTTCTACAGCTCGTTTGTGCAAAGAATCCTGATAAATCATTCATTGTTTACAAAACGATTCGTTCAATTGAATCGTGGCCAGCAAAAATCCATAAAATTTGAACGAACGAATCGTAAGAATTGAATCGGATTACAATGCGACTCGTTCGTTTCTACGGCTCGTTCGTTCAAAGAATCCAGAGAATTGATTCATTGCTTACAATACGTTTCGTTTAAAAAATAAATATTAGAATTATATACTATAAGCTTGGGTACCCAAACGTTCATAATATAGGCAATAGCAATGATATAAATATAGATAAGTAATTGCCATCTTAGTAATAATGTAGTACATACTATGTAGTAGGGCATCAATACAAACTCTCGAACAAAAGCCCTAAACAAATACCATGGATAGACAAGCGAGGTAAAAATATAAACATACTGATTAAATAGTACCCAACTTATATAAAACATATTTAATTACAGTAAAAGAATCAATATTATTTAACAGCAACAAATATTAACCAAACAAGAGATGTTTATAAATACGTTTTTTACTTTTGCTCACGCTAGTAAAACCGCAAAAACTGTAAAAATTATCAATAAAAAATATTTTTATAAATGACTTCAGTTTAAAACAGGAGATAATGATATGTTGTAACAAATTTCTGTTAATAATAGGAGAAAAAGTGTGATATCTCTACCGCTTTGTCGAAATTACTGATGTAAGATGTAAATTTTATCTCCTCGCGGATTACAATGAGAAACGGATACAAACTAACACATCTACATACATTTAAATATAACTGGCTATCGAATGCCATTCAAGGTGAAATTCTTTCAATACTTCCTCTAACGCGAGATACGAGGGTACTACCGTGTACTTATTACAACATGAAACATACAGACAGAGTACTCTCCAAACTTAAAAAAATATTTATTGAAGACAGTGTCCTATTTTTTTTTAATTTTAGAAATAGATGGAATACATTTTCTATGGCTATAACACAATGTTTCTATGAAACTCTTTACCTTATATCAAATACGTCTATCATAAACCGTTGACGTTCTGTTAAAAGTTTTACAAAAATACTGACTGTGGGGCTCTTAATAGTCAATTACGCTGTACTGCTCGGGTTGCTCTCAGGGGTCGGGTAAAACGGGTGTGTGGACGAAGGAAATATATATTATATTTCAGAAATCTGTCTAAGGCTTTTAAACCACACTCAAAATTCCAAACACACGTGCTTTGATTAAGACTTGATTAAAGTTTGCAGAGCTTCAGCATTTGCCATAAAATAGCGAGCAATTTGTTACAAAACCATATAAATTATATATCACTGTAATCACAAAACTTCAATCTATTTCCGTATTGTAACGGAATTTTAAATTATGTCTTCATTTTCGAGAAAATTTAGTCCAAATATAAGGAATATTTTGTTGATGTTTAACCATCAAAATCTTAAAAATAAAGAAGTTGTCTAAAAATGTGCTACAATATGGATATAGTATAATCCTTTATCTTTAATTTCCTTCTTCATTTGTGTAAAAATACCTAGTCAGTTTTGCATAAATGCCGAACGCTTATTTTACTACTTTTTCGGACTCTTAAGAGTGTGGTACAGTTAACACGTTTAGAGATAATTAACATTCGTGAAGCAGATACTTATTAGAAACTGTTCGATAGTCGAAGAATCTCTAATGAAAGGAACGACATTAACCTTCGTTTTCTATTTACCTTATCAAAAAAAGTAACACGTGTGCTCGTGTGGTCACTTCACTTTTTCTTTTCTTCGGAATTGCAATAAACTTAAATTAGTCGTCTGGTATCGATTGTTGTAAAAAGAAACTTTTATTTTTTAGGTTATATAATCATTAAAAACTCTAGAGTGCATAATGATTTATAGATGATGCACGCTTTGCAAGAAAATATGTCAAATTTAATACAATTTAATTATAT